CATACATACATACATATACATATACATATACATATACATATACACATACATACATACATACATACATACATACATACACACACCTGGACCTTTTTTGATACTAAATAAGTAATAATAAAGAAACTTCTTTGGTTAAAGAAAATCCTTTTTAGATTTAGAATGAAGGGATTGGTATTTCCTTTGTTCAGCAAATTTTCACTCATAGACAGTTGTACAATTGATTTTTCTGCCCTGATTTTAGGATATTTATAGTAGATTTTGATATAATTTTGTCTCTTCTACTGACAAGTTATAACTTGGAATGAAAAATAATGTAAGTTTCTATTTGCAAATTCATTATGATTTTCTTTTCCTATCTTCCTTGGTTATTTGTTACCTATCTGAAATGCATCCTATGTTTGAAGTACTAAACCTAACAATTGGATCGTGCTTACATTTGATTTTCAAAAAAGTAGTTTACATCAGCTACTATAAAGTACACAATTCAATTGAATACTACTGAGTTTCAGAAAGGAGACTGGTTGAAATGTTAGGAGTGTTAGAAATTCAGTACATAGCCTTGAGACATCCTCTTTCTCATATTCACAGAAAGAAATGGGCAGAATATTTATTGGATTAACAAAATGCATAGAGCGCTCTATTCTTGAAAAATTATGGGAGCTGTATAACATAAATAGTAAAAGAATATTGTAAGAATACAAAAAAAAAAGAGCTAATGAAATCATTCTTCCACTTTATTCCTCATTTAATGACTGATTGCTTAATGACCATTTAAAGTTACAAAGGATCCTCCTTTGTAAGTTACTTACAGCTTGTTCTTGAATTTACAACTGCTGCATGCACACACACAGAGAGAGAGAAACACACACACACACACACACACACCTCTGGAACCACATGATTGCCTTAGTGGATCATTTTAGCGGTGTCCCATGATGACTTGACTGTGATTTTGTGGTTTCCAGCAAGAAAAAAAAAAAAACATTTTGGGAGAGGGATTTACTTCATGAACATGCAATTCATGTCCCATAGAGTTTGACAGCACTTTCTGTGTGGTTTACAATGCATTATTTGCACATTGTCCTCCAAAAAAATCTGGGTCTTCATTTTACTGACCTTGGAAAGACGGAAGGCTGAGTCAACCTTGAGCCCTGTTAGGATCAAACTCCTGACAGGGGGTTATGCAATGATATATAAGATTAGATAAATCTCTACCATCAAAATAAATCAAGAAAGGTGTTTTTTTTAGTGTGACTGCAAGGCACAGCTGGAGGGGTCTGGTAGCATTTCTTTTTCAGACTAAAGCATTTTATACACAGGCATAACTTTCGCAAGTTTTTTGCAGGAAGAAATGAAAGAAAAAAGACAGGAAAATGTGCTAACCAGGCTCCTGATTTTTCCTTTTTTTCTTTTTCTTTAGAAGGGTTATTGATAAATGTTAGAGAATCTTTTCTATGTCTTGACTTCAGTGGGCAAGAAAAGCTCCCCCTTTTTTCAATTACAGAGGGATCGCCTCAAAGGCTTCACAAGCTCACACATGCTTTCCTATGAACTGAAATGGTAATCTGGATTTGAAGCATACATCAAGGGGAGTAATCATGTTCATTGGTCTTTTATTTTTCTTTAGAGACTGCAACCAGGATGGTTGCATGGAAAGCAGAATGGGCCAATTTGCCACAGCCAACCACATTGTGGCCAACTTGCCACAGCCAACTTACTATGGGAAAAACTCATCACAGCCAACTCACTGGGGGACAACTTGCCACAGGACAATTTAACAGTTCAATTTAAATATTGAAAATAAATTTGAAAATATGTTAATTTTTGCCATTCATATCCCATCCTGTCCCGCCTTTTACATCCTTTCCTTAATGATTCCATCCCACCATTTCTTTGATATTAGTGTCAATCTTGTCCTGCAGTGAGTTGGCCCACAGCAAGTTGGCCGTGGTGAGTTGGCCTGCAGCAAGTTGGCCATGACAAGCGAGTTGGCTGTGGCAAGTTGGCTATGGGGAGTTGGCCATGCTGAATTGGCCACAATGAGTTGGCTATGGCAAATTGTCATAGACCCCATGAAGAAGAGGGAAAAAAAACCATGGAAATCCAATTCTGCAGGCCTAAATGAATTAACATGCCAGCAACAAGTAAAAGAAGA